TGGAGAGATTTTCGCTATAGGGCGCATGCGCTCGCCAGACAGAGAGAGACATAGAGATAGAAAGCGAGAAATCATCCCCCAGGGGGGGATGGTCACGCCACAATCCCTTCTCCTCCATTCTCCTTTCGGGATCTTGGACACGCACGCACAGGCGCCAGGCGTGAGTTTTAAGCCACCGGGTCCGGGACGCGAACTGCGGTCGACTACGTGAGAGTCCAGTGACATAGCCATTACACTAACTGCTGGTTCCCTATAGCACTTTAACCTTTGAGGGTTTTTTTTTTTTTTTTTTTGCTTTATTTATTTATTTATTTTTAATTTGACCAGAGAGGGACAGAGTGAGAGAGAGCAAGAGAGAGAAAGTGAGAAAGCAAGCCACCAGGTCTGGGACTCAAACTATGATCAGCCATGTGGGAGTCCAGTGCCCTTAACTACCATGCCACTTGCCAGCCTTGACCTTTGTGGGTTTAAGGCTTTTTCTAGCTTTAAACATCTGATACAAGTGAAAATTTGGATATGTTAGCCACATTTTTGGACCTCAGTTTTGTTATCTGCAAAATGGGAAATGCTGACCTACTTGAGCCTCTTTCTTCTTCTTTTTTTTTTGAAGTATTTTATTTAAATTTATTTATTTTAATTTGACTAGAGAGAGATAGAGTGAAACAGAGAGAGAAAGAGTGAGAAAGCAAACCACCAGGTACATGACTTGCACCGTGGTCCGCCATGTGGGAGCTCAGTGCCCTTAACCACCACACCACCTGCTGGCCCCTCAAACCTTTTTAATAGCTTATAGATTAGGTATTCAAAGAAATTTTGATCCTGCAAAAAATCTCTTGAGGGGGGAAAGTTTCCTTAGAGAAAGCTGCATGCTACATAGACTGTTCCCTTCAATATGAACAAAACATTTAATTACCATATTAAATGCTCTGAGAAGTAAAGAACCAGTTTAACTTGATTTTAAGCAGTATTTTCCAAACATATTTGGATGTGGAATAATTTTCTTAGATAACATCTGCTTAGGATCCCAGAAAACTTATTTTCTGAGAAACATGGTTTAGACTGTCAACATGAATATTTTTAGGTATTAGGGGTGGTATAGGCAAGAGGAAAGGTACAACTCATGAAATGTTCTTGGCTGGTTTTTGTGCTGGCTGTGGTCTGTAGCTTTGGACAATGCAGAAAACCTGTTTTTTAAAAAAGATTTTGATTTTTTTCTTTGTTCTTGGTAGAGTGTGTGCATGTGTGTGTGAGAGAGAGAGAGAGAGAGAGAGAGAAAGAGAGAGAGAGGGAAATGCCCTCCACAGGGTTTGGTCACACCGTGATCCCCCTCCTCCAGTCCCATAGCCCATCAGACCTTGCGCACTCATGCACATGCCTGGCGTGTTTCAGGCAGACTAGGCTGGAGTTATAACTGTGGTCACATGCGGGGTCTGGCTTCTCTTGAGCAGTGCATTGCCACAGAAGCCTCTCCCTCCCCCTGGAAAAAATAGGAATAAACAAAACCCAACTCTCCCTTAATTGCAGTCATTATCAGTCTCTTAGATAATGAGTTAAATTTGTATGCCTTTCAGACTCCAGTTTCACTTTAGGCCCTTTCCCTTCCCTATAAAAGCATGGAATCTGGTAATCAATCACTTCACATACTAAATATCTACTCAAAATAAACAACTAGAGAAATTCTGATCTCATGAATTTATTTGAAAACATATCAAATTAGGTCAGGTTAATAATACCTGCAGACTATATCTGCCCAAGTGAAGATTATGTCATGATTTTCTCTCTCTCCTTTTTATTTATTTATTGAGAGATTTTTGCTATAGGATGCATGCACTCAGCAGAGAGACAAAGACAGAAAGTGAGAAATCCCCCCGACGGGAGGTGACCATGCTGTACTCCCCTCTCCTGCATTCTCCTCTTGGGATCTTGGGCATGCACACACATGCGCCTGGTGTGAATTTCAAGCCACCAGGTCTGGGACTCGAACCACAGTTGACCATGAGGGAATCCAATGCCTTATCCACTATGCTTCCTGCTGGCCCCATATTATTTTTTTAAAATGAATGAATGAATGAATGAATGAAGTTTTTAGGTTTTTCCATAGGGCACATGAGATAGTGACAGAGAAAGGGAAAGTGAGAAATCATACCCCTGGGGGGATGCCCACCTGCAATTCATTCTCTCTTGGGATTTTTTTTTTTAAAGAGAGGTTTTTCCTATAGGGCATGTATGCTCGCCAGAAAGACAGAGACAGACAGAGACAGAAAGTGAGAAATCACCCCCCAGGGGGGATGGCCATGCCGCAATCCCTTCTCCTCCATTCTCCTCTTGGAATCTTGGGCATGCATGCACAAGTGTCCAGCATGAGTTTAAGCTGCCTGGTCTGGGACTTGAACCATGGTCGACTGTGTGGGAGTCCAGCATCGTAACCATTATGCCATCTGCTGGTCCCTCCTCTCGGGATTTTGAGCACGCATGTACCCATGCCCAGTGTGAATTTCAAACTGCTGGGTTGAGGGCTTGAATTATGAACTACGGTTGGCCATGCTGTTAACCACCAAGGTCAGTATGTCAACCATCACACCACCTGCTAGACCTTCCCTTTTACTTTTTTAAAAAAAGAATTATTTTATTTAACTTTATTTGTTTTTAATTTGACCAGACAGGGAGAGAGAGAGAAAGTGAGAAAGCAAGCTGCCAGGTCTGGGACTCGAACCACGGTTGGCCATGTGAGAGTCCAGCATCCTTAACCACCTCACCACTGCTGGGCCCTCCTCTTTACTTTTTAATTGCAAGAGGACAGATTTTCTCACCAGAAACAGAGTGTGAGAGAGGGAAAGCACTCCCCTAATGGGGTGTGGTTACACTGCAATCCTTCCTCTTTTTCCATCCCCTTGGGATTTTGGTCACACATGCCCTGTATGTTTTTCAAGCCTCTGGGGCCAGAATTTTAACTTTGGTTGACCATATGGGACGTGGCTCCCTTAACCACTAGGCAATGGGGTCGGTTCCAATAATTTCTCTTTAGTTCTCGTTTTGGTATTTGGTTTTTAGGCAGCCTGGGATAAATTAATTCCCTAAGGACTGAACTTAGACATACGGATGTTTTTTAAAAATATCTTTTTTCATTTTCTTTTTCAGTTTATTTCTTCTATGAGAAATAGAGAGACAAAGAGAGAGGAGAAAGAAATAGGCACCCCCAACAGGGGTCCTCATACCCTGATCCACTCTCACTCTGGTCAGCCGCAATTATGGCCTATGCACCTGCTGTGTCAGGGAGACCTCCAGGTGAGAAGCTGGGACTTTCCTATGTGGGTTGAGCACCAAGGACTATTACGTTACCACTGCACTGCCACGGAAAGCCCTCTTTTTCTTTTAAAATCCTTGGGGCTGGCAGGTAGCATGGTGGTTAAGTGCTAGACTTCCACGTTGACTTCCTCCTGGACCTGAAAGCTCGCTCTCTCACTTTTCCTTTATCTCTCTCTGGTTAGATTAAAAAAAAAAATAAATAATTAAAAAAACACAAAAACTCCTTAAGTTGGAGGCTGACAGATGGCATGATGGTTAAAGGCTCAGGACTCCCACATGGCTGACTGGGTTCGCATCCTGGACCTGAAGGCTTGCTTTCTCACTTTCCTTCTCTCTCTTGCTCTGTCCCTCTCTGGTCAAATTAAAAATACATAGAGTTTGGGACCAGCAGTTAGTGTAATGGCTATGTCGCTCAACTCCCATGTAGCTGGCCGCGGTTTGAGTCCTGGACCTGGTGGCTTAAACTCACGCTAGGCACGTGTGCATGCATGCCCAAGATCCTGAGGAGACTGGAGAAGGGATTGCGGCGTGGCCATCCCCTCTGGGGATTGATTTCTTGTTTTCTGTTTCTCTTTCTCTCTCTTTCTGGCAAGCGCACACGCCCTGTAGCAAAAACTTCTCAAAAAAAAAAAAAAAAACAAAAAAAAAAAGAAAAAAAAAAAAAACAAAAAAAAAAAAAAAAAAAACACAAAACAAAAACGAAAAACAACAACAACAAAAACATAGTTAAATAAAATAATTCTTAAAAACAATCTTAAAAAAGTCCTTGACAGCAACTCTGATCCTTTATTATTATTATTATTATTACTTTTGGAGAGATTTTTGTTACAGGTTACATGCGCTTGCCGGAGATAGAAAGTGAGAAATCACCCCCCGGGGGGATAGCCATGTTGCAATCCCTTCCTCTCCATTCTACTCCCAGAATTTGGGGCATGAATCCACATGTGCTCGGTGTTTCAAGCCGTGGAATCCTGGACTTTAATGGTGGTTGACCATGTGGCAGTCCAGCACCTGAACCACTACACTTTCACCACTATGTCACCTGCTGACCCCATTATTATTATTACATTTGATATAGGGCATATGCGC